CCTAAAGGCAGTTTACATGTACATTGTACCAATTGTATGAAACAAACAAAAATGTCAATTTGATTCCTAAGGCCACACAAATTTAATTTGTTGGTTCACGGATTCGCCCGCTTCATTTTTTCTGATTTGCAAAAAAAACATTTCAGCCTCTGAATCAACTCCAAAATGCTCATATTTTCGTCGCAACAGCTAAAGGAGGTCCATTCTCTAACTTCAGAGTTGTTACAGTTTTTCCAGCTACATGTATAAATGCAGTGGTTTGATTAAAGATTTGAAATTTAATGTTTGAATTTACAAACTATCTTGGTATGTTGACTTCATGGCTCCTATCATGATCATTTGGGGCTATCAAAGGATGCCTTGTACCCTTTTTTTTTTTGCCCTGTTGCCTCCTTATTTTTCTTAAAAAATTTGAGAACCAACAAATCAAATTGATGTGGCCTAATCAGGGCTCGAAATACTGGGTGCATGTGCACCTTAGTGCACCCAAAAGTGGAGTTGTGCACCTAATTTTTTTGTGTGGGTGCACTGGTGCACCCAAATATTTTTGTAGGAATTTTTAACATTAGAAAATGTATAAAAGCATACCGGATATTCTTGGCATCTAAGTGTCAGAAAAATAATAAAATCTTGATTGTAGTTCTTGTTTAAGATTTTGAAGTTAGCTCTCATTTTAGATTCAATCTCAGAAGAGGAGCCGAAAGACCTGCAGTTAGGTTTTGTTTCATATGGTGCACCCCAAAATTTTTTTGTGCACCTAATTTTTTAGGTGTGGGTGCACCAGTGCACCTATTCCCAAAAATGAATTTCGAGCCCTGCTAAGGCCACACCAATTTAATTTGTTGGTTCTCGGATTTTTTCAGAAAAAATATGAAGCGACAGGGCGAAAAAAAATAAAAATAAAAACAGGTCTAGGCATCCTATTATAGGCTTAAATGCAACAAAATGAGCCATGAAGTCAACACAAAAGGCTGGCTTAAAATTTAAACATTGAATTTTGAACTTTTAATCAAACCACTGCAATGATAGATGGGAAAACTGTAACAACTAGGAAGAAAAGGACTTTCCTCAACTGTTGGGGGCAAAACATGAGCATTTTTCAGTTGATTCAGGACCAGAATCAAATTTTTTTTTTGCATCATCATCGGTCGACCGTATAGGTCGGGGTTATACCGCCCATTACGAGGTGGCATACCCTTTCGTTAGCTTTATACAAGACGGGGTTCGCCACGCCTCCGTCCGGGTGATGATGTAATCACCATGTGTGGTGATGTAATCACCATGTGGCTGATACGGAACAGACGTTCGCCAGGCCTCCGTCCGGGTGATTTGAAGTGAATCACCAACTCCATACAGTAGTGTTTGTACCATCGCACACCGGGGCATGCCCCTACTCTTTTTCGAAAGGTGTGGTGGGATCTTTAACGTGCGTGGGGTGTGGCTCTCCCCAAACACGGGACCGCCATTTAACGTCCTATCCGAGGGACGTCCCTAGCCGAAGCTAGGTACTCATTTCCACCTGAGTGAAGTGATGAAAGTCGTGTAAAGTGCCTTTCCCAAGGGCACAAGATCGGTGACACGGGTGGGGTTCGAACCCACGACCTCTGGGGTGTGAGCCGAACGCGCTACCGATTGCGCCACACGACCCCACGTTTTTGTCTGATTTTTTTTGCAAATCAGACAAAAACGAAGAGGCGAATCCGAGAACCAACAAATTAAATTGGTGTGGCCTAATGCAAGTTTTACTGACCTGTCTGTGTATCCTTGTGGTACACCTTGAGGTCCATGACTCCTGGTAGGTTGTCCATCAGTGTCTGCCTGTCCGAGCCGTCATACTTCATAGCGCTGTACACGGCCTGAGCTGACCAGTCATCCCAGTAGATCCTGTCCTGTAGGCCCAGACATAACACAACATCAGATAGGATTCATAGTCATACAACTTTGTACAAAAGGCTACTGTTTTACAGTATGTATACCATATATCAGTGGTCGAAATACCCCTCTGTGTGCAACTTGGTGCAAGTAAATTTGGTGTCGTGCAACTAATTTTTTGCCAGTATGCACTGGTGCAACTTTGCTTTATCCGCTGTTACAACTTGTAGAAATACCAAACAAAACCAGACTCCATGAAGTTTTCTTCATTTTTTGTAATTAATAGAAGGTTACTATCTATGCAAATATTGGATGCTATTAAAGTTACTACAATAGTACATGTACTCTTGGTTGTGCAACTATTATTTTTTTTGGGGGGGGTGCAACTATTTTTCTTCTGGTGCAAGTATTTTTTTTTTTCATATTTTGACCCCTGATGTAGAAATAGAGACCTCAGTGCTATTTAAAAACACTGCTTTTCAGGAATGCCCTGTGACAACAAGTTACAAACGAAAACAATGAAACCAACACATTAATATTAAACAATACAGAAAGTTACAAAACAACCCAGCGTCAAAACAAAATCGTTAACCGTAAATCAATGTCGTTAAGCCAGGCCAAGGTCAGTGGTTCAAACCTTACAGTCTGGTCTCAGGTTTGACATCATAAAGAGGTGACAATCACCTGTTATGTCAATCTTACCACTGTGACAAATGTGGTAAATCTTCATTAAAAAAAAAAAAATCTACGGTAACCTTGAACACAGCAATGGCGTACGGATGGGGCACGTCATGACTGATCAGCACCCGTCTGTTCCGCCCGTCCAGGTCCGCCACTTCGATACGATCGTGGTACGCCTCCGTCCAGTAGATCATGCGGCCGCTGTAATCCACGGCCAGCCCGTTCGGCCAGCGGATGTCCGAGGTGATGATGTTGTTGCGGTTCTTGGCGTCCATGTCGGCACGGACAATCTTAGCGTTGTCGCCCCAGTCTGTCCAGTACATGTAGCTAGAAAGCAATTCATTCTTTTTTATTAAACTATAACTATTAGCCAAAGAGCAGCCTTAAGCTTAGAGGGCCCCAAATGAGTACCCTTAGCACTGCATGTACAAGAATAGTGTAAAATGTCTTAATGTTGGCAACTGTTGCTTTTTTGAACCTTGATGTTAAACCTATAGGACCTGGTACAATGCAAGGGTTATTTGCATTAATTGATTATTTAAAAGAAAATGGAGTTTGTGCCATGTTTGGGGTGTCCAGGTCGCAAAAGAAGCCCTGTGTTTGCATGCCATCATCAGCTTGTGAGAGAGGTCAAAGGGCAATCGTACCTGTTCGGCTCAGGTTTTGGATGCCTTTAGCAGTACAGGATTTTTTGATATGAACAAAATGGACAGTTTAGAGGCCGAGTGACCCTATGAATATGTGCTTTTGATGTGGTTTCACTCAGGCAGGTGACTTTTCACACCTATACATGTTTCCATGCATTTGAATGGGACAGTCCATGAGTCTCATCCTTGCACTTGCTAACCCAAAGCAGATACAAAACAGATAGCTCCCAGGATAAAATGTCAATGCGCCTTTTCCCCAAAACGAGCCCCGTCATAGAAACACCAATATTTGCACAAACTTGCTTCTTTTCTTAGGCCACACCAATTTAATTTCTTGGTTAACGGATTAGTCCGCTTCATTTTTTTCTGATTTGCAAATAAAAATAAAAATTCAGAATCAACTGCAAGATGCTCATATTTTGCCCTGAACAGTTGAAAACAGTCCTTTTCTTGCTACTTGTTACAGTCATCCCATATTTCAATGCAATGGTAACATTAAAAGTTCAAAATTCATTGTTAACATTTTGAACCAGTCTGGTGTGTTGACTTCATGTCTCCTATTGTAACCATTTTGGGCAATAATAGGATGCCTAGGCCTGTTTTTATTTTTATTTTTGTTCGCCCGCCCGCTCCATTATTTTTCTACAAAAATCCGTTAACCGAGAAATTAAATTGGTGTGACCTAAACTTGCTTCTTTTCTTACCCCTCTTGAGGGCACAACACCAGCGCCCTTGGGTTGTCCAGAGAGGCGTTAGTGAGGACTCGTCTCATGGTGCCGTCCAGCCTGGACATCTCGATTTTCTTCATGCCGGCGTCAACCCAGTACAGGTTCCCGCTCATCCAGTCGATGGCCAGGCCCTCCACCGTCTCGATCCGCCCCTGGACGATCGTCTCCTGCACGGTGCTGCCATTCAGACACAGCCTCTGCAGGGGGACATGTCCATCACAATTAATGGATTTAGCGGTTTGACCAATCATGGCACAGCAATTAGCAATTCAACCAATGAGATAGTGGATGCATGTCAAATGTCTGGACGGTCGTCTCCATTCAGACACAGCCTCTGCAGTGAGACACAGATATCCTGAACTGTCCATCACAATTAATTAGCGGTTTGACCAATTACAGCACAGCAATTAGCAATTCAACCAATGAGAGAGTGGCTGCATTTCAAATGTTTGGACGATCGTCTCCTGTACTGCACTGCCATTCAGACACAGCGTTTGCAGTGGGACATAGATATCCTGAACTGTCCATCACAATTACTGGCCTAACGGTTTGACCAATCATGACACAGCAATTAGAAACTCAACCAGTAGTCTCAATTATTTTGATATTGCTTTACAAACATGCGCTGCGCAAGTTGTACAAGCGAAATTATGTAAAAAGTTGGCTAGATTTAAATTCATTGCAGCATAGTCTACCGGAAAATAGCACTCCCTTCTGGACTTTAGTACTCCTTTAAGGTGTTAGCTTTTGTCATCTCGTACACTTTGTTTGTAACATCACACCTACTGTAAATCACCTTATGTTAGCAGTAGCAAAAGTCTGAGAGCAATGGACATGTTCACAGAACTATCATGTATAATGTATATGTTCGGGATGGTGGCAGGTGCAGCAAAAAGAAAGTCAGCAAATTCTTTCATCATGGTAATGATAAATTGACATACAAAAGTGACAGCAAAAAAATTGTGATTCACAGTATCTCGATCAAAACTTGATGACCTCTGACCTGAATGATGTCAATGTTCATGTCTGCCCAGTACACACAGTTGTTGACGTAGTCGTAGTCCATGGCGATGGCGCCGCGCAGGTTCTGTAGCGGCAGCGACTCGTGGTGACCGTTGGTCAGCAGGTACTGGATAATCTCCGTCCGACGCGCTACCAGGAGAAACTCTGGTTGCTCTGTAGGATGAAGGAACATTCAAACGATATTAAAGGCATCCAGCCGAGCAATCTTAAAACAAAAACATATTCTGGATGCGGAAATCTGATATTTGAAGCCATGTCTACATGTCCACATCATCATTATCAAATTTTATACTTTTGCATTTGAGGTAGTAATAGTTCACCAGTTGGATCATGTGGCGTAATGGTTGGCAAATGGGTGTTTGGCAGGACCTGTACAAAGTCCTAGGTTCGAATCCACCAACATTCTGTACCCTTGGAAAAAGGCACTTTACACACCATTTCTCACCTCACTCAGGTTTAAATAAGTACCTAGCTTTGGTTAGGGACGCCCCTCGAATTAAATAGAGGTCCCATGTATGGGGAGAGCCATACCCCGCTCATGTTAAGGAACCGACCATATACATGTACCATTCAAAAAAGAGTAGGGGCATGCCCCAGTGTGCGATGGTCCAAATACCACTATCTATCTAGTGATTCACTACAGACTTCAGGAAGAACGGTGTAAAATTTACACTAACAAAAATCCTAATAAAACAAACAAATCAACAAACCTCCCACAGGACAGGAGACTAAGTCAGGTGCATAACGGATCTCGTCTCCACCTGAACAGGTGTCACCTGCAACCCGACGGTACCTGCATGGGCAGAACAAGGTAAGGAGACATGAATACGCATCCAAATTACTGTAACTGTTATGACATTAAGCTAAGCAAATAACATGAGTATTCTTATAATAATTATAGTAAATCTTCATGGTGGTCTTATTTTCACAGTTTTATGTTGTTTCTGCAAAATCAACAGCAAATATGTGTAATTTACATGACATGTATATTTACTGAATGTCTTAAACAGTTGTGTCAACTACATGTATGAGCAAAGTTTAACATAAAACAAAGCAAAAACCTCCTTTCCTGCCTAAGAGAATGAAACACAAAGTCCCCACGAAAATAAACGACTTATTAACAAACATTACACAGCAATGATATTGGAATATTACCATGAAAGTTCATCTGTGTTGGTAACTACTATGTTTAGAGTTAAAAGTTTAGATCAAACACAAAGAGTTCTCTCACCTAGAGCTTATGACCAGTCACTCTGGTCTTCCTCAGTAGACTGACCCAGTGAAGCTTGTCACATGACTTCTTTGAAGTGTGACATCATCACTGGGTCAAAGGTATCTGGTAGACGATGTTGAGAGGGGTGAAGGAGGCTATATAAATCAGGGCCCATCACCCTTCAATGAACCGCGACGGGGGCGACATAGTCCACCAGATGACCCAGTGTTGACGTCACACTTGAAAGAAGCCACGTGACAAGCCTCACTGGGTCAGTCTACTGAGGACGACCAGAGTGACTGGTAGAAAGCTCTAGGTGAGAGAACTCTGTTGGATCTAGATTTTTAACTCTAAACATATTGGAATATTAATAAATGATTGAATGTTCAATTACCCCTTGGTTCTTTTGTAGAAGGTTCCCTCAGGACAGGGTGAGGGGATACGGTGTGGGTCTATCCCGCTGTCAGGGTCCAACACACAGCGCTGCAGCCAGAAGTGCTGCTGACGAAATCCCAGATCACTACAGGGGCAAGAACACAAGCATTAAAACACATCCTTATATGTGTATATCTTTTATATGGTAGAGGGGATTCATTCCTCAAGTTAACCGACATCTCGCACACGCAGTCGTCCCTCAGTACAGGCCTCGAAATTAACTTTTCTTCCTATTGTCCCAGCACTGTCCCAATAATGAATTTCAATGGTCCCGAAGTGAGGATGAACTGTCTCAACCTGTTTTTTGGGAAGTATGTATGACTTCAACTTGAAGTCAACTTTATTTTCCTTAATGTTCACTCTCATGCGCACTATAATTGTAGAGTAGACAGGAAATTCCGGGACTTTTACGAATCCAAAAGCTGAAACGTGTGCCTGATAAACAAAAGAAAGGCTGACATTCTAAAGCTGCTTAAATGTCCCAGAAATGTCCCAAACTGTCTTTTCAGTTGTCCCAGCCTACATTTTAGTGGTCAGTGGCCACTGGACCACCTTTAATGTCGAGCCCTGTCAGTAAGACATCTAGAGCCGCATAAAATGTTTATTCAGCTTGTCATGCAAACGACCGGTTTCACCTGTGTGGCTTCTTTGGGGTTTGGTGTGACACTGGCGAAACCGGTCGTGTGACAGGCTGAATAAAGTTTCTGAACGGGAACTATGCGGCTCCAGATGTCTTACTGAGGGACGACTGCGCGTGCAAGATGTCGGTTAGCTGAGGAATGAATCCCCTCGAATTTATACTACACCCTTATATCTCTTCTACAAAGGATTTCTGAACCTGACGTTTTAGTTTGTATCTACATGCAGTTTTGGTACGCCATGCAAATGTCGTCAATGCAGTGTAAGTGAGTTCACAGTTCCAACTGTGCATTCGAGTCGGCATGATGCACTGTGTATGTCCAAGTTGCAGGCCCCTAACTTACCACAGCTACAGTACTGTCAGTCAGTCTCAAAAGCAGGAGTATACAGTGCAATTTTACAGAATACAGTACAATTTTACGGAATACAGTTTACAATTTTACGGAATACAGTACAATTTTACGGAATACAGTACAATTTTACGGAATACAGTGCAATCGTATTCAAATTAGTCTTACAGTGCAATTTTACTAGTAAGACAGTAAGTAAAATTGCACTGTATACTATCTACTAGTAGTAAAATTGTACTGTATTCTGTAAAATTGCACAGTATACTAATACGATTGTACTGTATTCTGTAAAATTGTGACTGTATATTCTGGCACCCCTGAAAAGGCCCCTGAGACATACACAGAACAATGTGCATTTGGAACACTGCACAGTTGGAACAATGAACTCAGGCTGTTAGTATGATGGGAGCGGTACATAATACATTATGTGTTCAAGCTGACATTTCATGCATGTATTGAACTCACAATACTGATACTGACACAACAAATTAACCTTCAGCATGCTGAGGTAGCCATTTAGCACCATATTTGCATTGGTTAAGGGATTAGGAAGCAGGAGGAAGGTTAAACTACATGTACATGTACAACAGTTACTGTATCGTTATGTAGTGGAACATGCAGATAGTAATACAAATGTATGCACAGAAGCGCATGTGTACCACAATGCATACAAAATAATGGCTGAGCTGCTAATATTTCATTAAGGTACCTTCCTGAAGAGATACATGTATCAGAACCTGTCAAAGATGTCTAAAACGAGTTCTCACATCTATGGTAAAATTGCTAGCAAAACTAACAAGATCTACAGGCCTACATGTTTAAAAACCAACAGTTACTGTTCATTTGATTATTACATTGGATGACACGTCGCGGAATACCAAAATCAATAATCCAAAGGACATAAGGAAAATGTGAATGAAGAAAAATGAGCCTCCTATTATTTATTCACCATGCCAATAAAATATTACACTATGTGTTAAGTCATTTGTTCAACCTTCATGACCATCATTACTTTCTTTTGGCAAACTTTTTCTATCCACACGCTCGCATCAGTTTTAAGGTTCTAAGAGGATGTCATCCATATAATCAAATCAACATGACCTAATGTTCCTTTTACATGTATTCAGGATGATAGAACAAAGGTCCAGCCCAGTACCACAAACTTTAATTTAAAGGTAAGATTTGTGGTTAGGGCCACACCAATTTAATTTCTTGGTTAACGGATTCGCCCGCTTCATTTTTTTCTGATTTTCAAAAAAAAATTCAGAATCAACAATTACTGCAAAATGCTCATATTTTGTCCTGAACAGCCCTTTTCATCTTTTTCTTCCTAGTTGTTACAGGCATCTTTCAATGCAGTGATATCATTAAAAGTTCAAAATTCATTGTTTAAATTTTGAACCAGCCTGGTGTGTTGACTTCATGGCTCCTCTCGTACCATTTTGGGCCATAATACGATGCCTAGGCCTGTTTTTTTTTTTCGCCCGCCTGCTCCATTATTATTCTAGAAAAATCCGTTAACCGGGAAATTAAATTGGTGTGGCCTAGGAGAGAAAGTTGTGTGATTAGTTGGAGAAAAGGAACACAACAACCAGAGTGCACACCTCTACTTCAACCCAGAGTCCAAAATGTTAGTTGAGAAACTTAAATTTGAAAACAGCACTGCCACAGACTACATTTTGTAAAATTTGCATTATCTATGCTGCAATTTTGATACGTGTATACATGCTTAAACAAGGCTCGAAACGCTGCGTTCTTTTTTTTTCTATTTACTTCATGTTTACCACAAAACAAGGCTCATGGGAGCCACTCAAATGTTTTGGGTTACTGTATAGTGAGGACAGATGTTTGTTGACCTTAGACTTGAAAAGTTTAAGGTTATGCACTGTTATCTGCACCAACGTTTTGAGTGTGCACTAGTGCACAGTCATACAAATTACACATTTTTAACTTTTGCTGAACTACTTGTTTCAAATTCTTAAGTTTAGTTAATTATATTATTTATCAATATATACAATGTATGTAAAATTTCAGATTCAAATGCTGAAGAAAAGGGTTTTGCTGAGATTCCACTTTTAATAATTATATTATGTTGTGCAGCCAAGTTTAGAGTCAAATTTTGAAGTTACATGTAGGTACATTCAAATAAAACTTTATACCCTTTGCTAATCTAAATGTAGTGGTGGAATTCTAAAATTTACATCGTTTTGGGGGGAGGGGGGCTCAGGCATATATATCGGTATAGTCTCTGGTAGTGCTGTTTTCAACTGTTAAAAGTAAAAACCCACAATGGACGCCAAATGGGTTGCTCCATGTAGCCTTCGTCACTGCAAGGAGAGAAGAAAAACCCTCCTAAGAACACTACATGTACATTAAGACCTAGTTAACACTTCTGCAACTACATTCAACACAAAAATTTCAGAAACTTGAATTTGAACATCTCCGTTGTTATTTTATCAACTGCGTTGTACATGATGACCTGTTGTATTACGTATCATTGGGAAGCTTGCTTATTGCCCTTAATATGATACCCCATTTGTTATAAAAATTCATATACATGTGGGTTGGGCATCCTTGAAAATCAGCCTCAGTGGCTGAAGGGACCACCCATTTGTCCGTAAGATAAATAAAAATTAAATAATTGTACTTAATAATTAATATGTGTGGAGGTTGCCCAAAATGTGCTGACAGAAGTTTCCCTTGATCAAAATATAATTATTCATAATCTTTAATGATAAGCAATATGATTGCGTCTCATATTTAATACCATTGGACAGTTTTTAATTGTCCTAATCATACTTTCGTGCATTTACAATTTACATGTATGACTACAATAACTGACTTTTAGTTTTTTTTCATTTGTGGGAGGGTCACAAAAAAAGGATCAAACTACAAATGTACAATTAGCCAACGTTTCGATGACCGTCTGTCATCTTCTTCAGGGCAATTCTGACCAGTTTACTGTGCACTGACGCTAGATGTTACTTGGTGCATAGTGCACTAAAGGTGTTACATAGTTCATGGTGCACTTAAGCTAACGTCGGCTAGTGAAAAATAAATGGTTGTGATAAAAAGAACTTTGCTATTCAGTCGTATACCAACCTGATGAAATTATTTACGGATACGTCTAACCCTCGGAAGACGGGGAACAACAGACGATAAACCGGACAGTGAGTGAGTGAGTGAATAGATAATGTTGGCAAGGGAATTCCAGCACTTTCATTTTTAGTAAATGCAGAATATTTAGTTTTGGTACTACATGTAGTAGCAGTCATTTCTAGTGTTTGGCCTCAGAAATATTATGGTTTCTTTTAGGTAAAGGGTATTAAACAAGTTTTCCAATGATACATAATGTTTAAGTTATACAATTGATAAAGTAGAGACATTATTGGTCAAATTCAAGTTTCAGACTAAACAAACTCAATAGACAGTACAGTTATGTGCACCAGTGATAAGTGATGTTAGTCCAACCACTCAAACGGTACAATGTACTTTTTCAACACAGCACTGCAACTCAAATCAAAACCTACTGCAAACTACCATATAGTATACACAATCATGTACAATGTACAACGTCATGTATTGGTAGAACATTATTAATATCATTACACAAATGGTTTTTATTCAGTGGGAACATCGCATCAAAGTAAGAAATAAAACATTAAATCAGAGCATTGTCTTGTCCCCTCTCTTTATAGTTATCTGCCATCCACCTTCCAGCATGGCAACAGACATCTTTGCCCATTTTGACCACTGTCAGAAGACAACAAAATTTCTAACTTGTTTTTTCCAAAATCGGTCGAAAACTAATGCGTGCACTGATGTCATCCATAAAAAAATTAATTGCTGTGGCCTAATACACAAGAACGATAATCTCCTGACAATATACTACATGTTTCAAAAGTCCCACCACCTGTCTCGTTGACCTGCAATGATTACGTTCACATTTCGTTTTTCAATTTTGACGTTTTAGAATTTTCAAGCAGGTTGTGTCAAAACCAACCGAGGTCAAGGTCCCAAAGACAGCATTTGCCACACCAGCACAGCTGAATTTGGCAGGATGTGTATTAACCAATGATCAATGATTATCCCAAGAAGGCCCACAGCAGGGTTGGACAAGTTTTCAAAAATCCACTTGCCCTATTGGGCAAGTACATGGACATCTCCACTTGCCCGAACCAACTTTTCACTTGCCCAAAATAAACGACATTTTTATATGCATTTTCACTACCAGCAAGAAAACTATTTCATTTTAGAGTTATCAAAATAAGGTGGTTTGAGACTTAATATAATATCATTATGACCAAATCATGAGTAATTTTGCTCCAAACACCATAGCGGGTATACTTCGCATCCCAAAAATTTACTTTCCCAATCGGGCAAGTACAGGGGGATATTCACTTGCCCGAACAGTACTTTTACTTGCCCTGGGCAAGTGGGCAATAGGACTTGTCCAACCCTGCCCACAGTTTGTGATGATACGATGATCCTCGAACAAATGTGACCCACTCAAACTAAGAACTCAAGGTAAATTCTATCTTTTTTATTAAAGTCATTGCAGAGTGAAGATTGAACCGTTCCCCAACTCAAGAAAATTTTGACCGAATCTCTGTCTTCATCAGCTAATCTTGCAAGTGCTGTTGACACGTGACTATTTTGCGAGAGGAATAAACCTAAGGAAGCCATCTACATCCTGGCATATCTTCTCTCCAATGAGACGGGGGAGGGGGGCACTGTACTGTCTTCTGATGAACTTTGACCCAGTGCTGATGTCACACACGCACAGGCAGAAAAATCAATGTGTCTACAGTACTTGGGTCTGATAGCTGATGAAGACAATAGAGATTCTGTCGAAATCTCCAGTAACTGTTTTTGGTTGGAGAACAGTTTGATTAATATTTTCAATATCTATTCTCACGTTGTCAAGTGTCTAAAGCAGCTCAACTTCAATGTATCATTCAATTTTTGTTGTTGGGAGAAGATCACGGACAGGCCATAACAGCATTTTATCTTCCTCCCGCATATCTCTTTTGTTTATAATTATACAGTTATGTTTATCTTTGATTATATGGAAATAAACAAACCAACCATTCAAAGTCTTCGCGTGAACAGGTACAGTTCTGCGAGCGGATGGGTCTGTCGTAGTCTCGACCGTTGTAGCACTTGGCGTGAGCGATCCTTCGCTCGTACACCGTCTTCCGCCCCAGGAGACACGTACTGCCGGGCTGCTCGTCTCCCGGACTCCACGTCTTGTAGTCGTCTTCGTTACAAGGAGGTCCTGTGTATGGAGTAATTCTTGGATCAAGTAAATCTTGTCTTACCAGGCCTTGAAATTAACCTTTCTTCCTATTGTCCCAGCACTGTCCCAAAAATATATTTCATTGTCCCGAAGTGAGGATGAACTGTCCCAACCTGTTTTTTGGGAAGTATTGTATGACTTCTACTTGAAGTCAACTTTATTTTCCTTATGTTCACTCCCAGGCGCACTATAATTGCAGTTTATACAGGAAATTCAGGGGGACTTTTCTGGATCCAAAAGCCGGGACGTGTGCCTGATGAACAAAAGAAGTGCTGACATTCTGATGTTGTCGTTGATTATTTTTCTATTGTCCCAAAAATGTCTTTTTAGTTGTCCTAGCCTAAATTTTACTGGTCAGTGGCCACTGGACCACCTTTACTCTCATCTGCCGAATAAACATACGGGTACGTTTATTTTTTTGGGCCCGAACATCCACCCAGTACGTTCTTATTTTGCACAGTACGTTTATTAATTTTTTGAAAACCAATAATTTTTTTCAACTTCGTGTGAAAAAAATGACAAATCATCGATGTGAAGACGTTTATAAACGCGTATTGTAGCGAGAAAATCACCGCGTGCATAAATTCGTCTGAATGTTTTATTGTCATGGGTGGTGCTTATCAAAATACGAAATATTAAATGCTCTTTTTTTTGTCTATTTAAATTCCTAATTGCAAATAAAGATTTGTGCATATATCAGTAAGGGCGCATTTTAGTACAAGAGACACAGGTTACCCGTCAATTTTGGTAATTTTCCGGGGGGTACGTTTATTCCGGGGGTATGTTTATTTGATTTTTGAAGATTTGTCCGGGGGGTACGTTTATTCCGGGGGGTATGTTTATTCGGCAGATGAGAGTAATTTCGAGCCCTTCACTCACCTAGAATGCTGGTGAGGTTGACCTGGACCACCAGCCAGCTGTGGCGCTGGGGGTTGGAACCGAAGACGGAGAAGACTCCCGTGGTCTCGCCCGGCTCCGTCATCACGCCGTACACGCGGATCTTAGTGTCCGAGAACGCGTAGGTCGTCCAGCTCTCACCCTCATTCCAGCTGTACCTGTGGTGTGATTCAAACGATGGATTAGGTCACACCAATTTAATTTGTTGGTTCTCAGATCGGCCTCTTCATTTTTATCTGATTTGCAAAAAAAATAATTCTGGTTCTGAATCAACTCAAAAATGCTGATATTTTGCCCCCAACTCTTGAGGAAAGTCCTTTTCTTGCTAGTGCTAGTACTAGTAGTTGCTAAGTTTTTCCATAAAAGTTCAAAATTCATTGTTTAAAATGTTACATAATGTTACATAATCTTACATAATGCCCCTTTAAAGGAATCCAGTGCAGCTTTCAAGGCCTGCAAACCCGATTTTTCAAAGCCAATATTCTAGCCATTTATCTACTGAGTTGAGACCACACTATCCCTCATGGAGCAAAAATACCCAAATTTCTGAAGAAAAATGGTTACTGGAAGGGCCCTGGGCTGATTTTTAGGGTACCACCCAGAAAATAAAGGACTCATCTTGGGGCTTGCTTCTGCAGTTCTAAGAACCCATTGGCAAGGTCGAAATACTTATTGAAATGTCCTAATGTGAACTTAAGCAGTATGTGTCAATATCATTGAAGATTGCCATAATCTGAATGTTCCCAGTTTTGCTGCTCTGAAATCGCATTGACAGACCTAAGAGTAAGAAAGCAAAAATTGATTGCCTTAAGAAAGCACAAGTAACCTACTCAATGGTGTTGGTTTCCTCGAACTGTTTGACAGCTGCCACCAGCCCACCGTGGTCGCCAAACGCGAAGAAGTATTTCCCCCTCAGCACCATCTCCCAGCTAACCCCGGCACTGCTGGAGAAGAACACATCCGAGTCGCTCTTGATGCTGTCCCCCAGAGAACCTGTTAGTAAACAAGGGTTAAACCACAGTGTTACGACAAGAATATTTCAACAATTTTTAAAGATTGCATTTAGAAGACAAATGTTAGGACACAAATTGAATGAGGTGACACAGTGTAACAAGCAAGAAGTCTTTTATTCATCATCAAAACAGGTGGAACAGCAGTTGTCGTCCTGTCCTGTTTTCGCCTTACGGGTTTCACGTCAATCTAACGATTTGCGGCACTGTCGTGACTCTTTGGTCATAGTTACAGGAAGCGGAATTTCTTGTTTTTTTTTCTAGGAACAGGCCAAAATCGATGCGCGCGTGGACGTCATCCATAAAATTTACTTGGTGTGGCCTAATATTATTGTTTTTTAAACCTTTTTCATAGCATCATTAATATAAGACTAATTACATGTATGTTTACCGAAGGAAAACATATTGTTTTTGCTCAGTCTTCTCTTCTCCAAACACAAAAGGTCAATGACCTGAACCAGACGTCTGTAACCATGGTAACTGGTTGGGTTACATCATGTTGCAATTTTATAGTAGGAAGGATTTAGACTCCTGTCACCATATACATGTGTAAATGTACAATTCATGTGTATGTGAGTGTGTTTGAGTAAGAATTGACAGATCAGACCATATGCAAAGGTAAACATTATGCATTACTGCTTTGCAAATGTTACCTTAAGTTTCTAGTTAACCATTGCAATTTAGTACTTATTAGTAACTGTTTTTTAAACCTTTTTCATTGCATCATGCAACTAATAATAATTATTTTTTCCAACCATTTTAGACCATCACAAGTGATTGTTTTTTTAATTTCAAGTTTTTAAACCATGCATTCAAGTAAATGTTTTAGAAACACTTTAAACTGATATGGGTGAATTTTTTTTCAAAACTTAAAACCATCACAATTGAATGTTTTCTAAAAGTTTTTCTAAAAGTTTTTCTAAAAGTTTTCCAACCATTCACAAATAAAAATTTTTGAACTATCAAAACCATTCACAAGTATTCAAATGCTTTTAAACTGTTTTAAACCATCACAAGTGGCTGTTCTTTCAGCCATTGCAAACCATCACTAAACATTTTCAGGAGGAAAAACTGTTACAGTACTGTAACTGTAAAATTAATTCATTTTTACAGCATTTTTAAGTTCACTGCTGACTTTCAATTCTAAAGTACTGTAGGAAAAAACACATTTGCAGCATCATAATTTCACGCTGCAAATTTTAATTAAAACCACCGCAGAATTCCATTATTTACCTGTGGGGTCGTGTGGCGCAACGGCAGCGTGCGCGACTCGGAGTCAAGTCTAGAGGTCCTGGGTTCGAGTCCTGACATGCCACCAATCTTGTGCCCTTGGGAAAGGCACTTTACACGACTTTCCCCACTAGACTCAAGTGAAAATAAGTATTGTCTGTCCAGTATTCGTTTCTATGTGCGGGACACAACACCAGCAACAGCTGCCTCTGTTCCGCGTGTATTGCACTGTTGCAATTGCAATAAATCAAATCAAAAATTTACCTGATGCCATGATGAGGCCAGGTGCAGATTCCTTAGACAGTATGGGGACAGTTCTGTAGCCTGGAGCCAGCTGGTGGTACTTCTGAGACAGGTGCAGGGTACAGTTCTTTCCCTGGAAAAGTTACACAGGTGTCTTGATTAATGTCCCTTCTCATTTGTTTTACAAGTGGTTTGAACATGTCTATTTCTCGTGCAAAAGCTGTGTAAACCGCATGCACTAGTAAGCTTAAGCGGCAATCACGTGTGCCTAGGGCATGTATCCTATCTATATTAACACGTAACAACACAAAAATCTACACAATGTCACATGTTTTACATAAGAAATGCCCGTCAATATTTTAAGAATAACTGCTCAGCTTTGGCACACTTTTGAAATCTGAAATATATTGATAAGAAATGCATAGTTTTTAATCGCGTGTTGCACAACTAGGCTAAGTACTAGTACTGCTAATTAAAAGTAATTACTAACTGTAACTTACAGTAACTACTACTACTGCTAGTACTACTACAGCTATTACACTACTACTAGACTAAGTACAAGTACTACTACTACTACTAGTAACTATAGTATGAGACTACTTCTACTACCACAGTGACTACTACTGTAACAGTAACTACTACTACTAGTAACTACAGTATGAGACTACTACTACTACTACCACTAGTAACTACAGTTACGGTATGAGACTACTACTACTACTACTAGTAACTATTACAGTATATATAATAGTATGAGACTACTTCTACTACAACAGTGACTACTACTACTACTACTACTAGTAACTACAGTATGAGACTACTACCACTAGTAACTACAGTATGAGACTACTACTACTACATGACTTGTACTACTACTACTAGTAACTACAGTATGAGACTACTACTACTACTACTACTACTAGTAACTACAGTATGAGACTACATGTACTACTACTTCTTTTACTACTACAGACTGACTGTACTTACAGGGGTACAGTCAGTTGGTCGACCCTCTGTGTCTTGCAGCGGTGCGGTGATGTTATCCCACATCCCTCCCTTGTCGAACGTGATAACGGACTTCATGTTCCGGGATAGCATCTGAGTGGAGTTGAGGACCGTGGCGACGTATATCCCCCGCATACCGCCCACCTTGTGGATATCCGCAAACGGTTCATCCACGTAGTATCTGCAGGTTTCAAAATAACTGTTAGGCCACACCAATCTAATTTCTTGGTTAACGGATTTTTCTAGAAAAATAATGGAGTGGACGGGCAAAAAAAAATGAAAATAAAAACAGGCCTACGCATCCTATTATGGTCCAAAATGGTACGATAGGAGCCATGAAGTCAACACACCAGGCAGGTTCAAGATTTAAACAATGAATTTTGAACATTTTAATGATACCATTGCATTGAAAGATGGAATAACTGTAACAACTAGGAAGAAAAGGACTGTTTTCAACTGTTCATGGCAAAATATGAGCATTTTGCAGTTGATTTTGAATTTTTTTTATGGGACTGTCCCACCCTGGACCGTACACATAAAATTTGTCGAGTGCAGATCTAATAATTTTCCAAGTTACCATGTTGGTTAATATGCAGAATTCAAGCATTTGGAGTCTCGCATTTTGAGAAATACAGAAAAAAGCATTTTGAATCCTGGAGAGATTTACCCAGTGTACAAAAAACTTTTTTGAACCAGGTTGCCCAGTGGGGAACCTGCGGCAAAAATTAGGTTGCTCATCAGAATTTTAGGTTGCCCACCTATAAGTTACTACTTTTCTCAAATTATATAAGCCTTTGACAATATTTCTAACAGCCTTTAGTTAACTGATACTAGTAATAGCTATTAACACCTAAAATTAAAAAGCATCTGCCGGATACAGTGGTGCAAGCCAAGTGGGCATGATTTTTTTTTTTGGCGGGGGGGCATTCTTAAAATTCAGGTAGCTTACTGGGCTACCTATGTTCAAAAATACTGTAAATGCATTTTTGTTCGTCAGGGATTTAAGCGGTTTTCGCGAAGAGCCTTGCTTCGTGAAGTCATGTCCCTCGCGAACTGTTTACCGTATCGCTACACTCCCGTCTTCCAGGTTTCCATGTAACGTTACGTTACTACTACCCATATAGCCAAGTATAACTATCTGTATTGTCTCAGCAGAAATAGACACAAATAAAAGTAGACCTGTCCAGTTCTTCAAGAAATAGAATATTTCTGCGCTATTGTTGAGTATCAGAATTATTTATACTGATAAAAATTATTTTATGAGACACCGAATCCAGTGTCAGGCCATGTCAACTGCGTACAAGAAATCTCAGCGTGCACGTCGCGGGTTGCCCCAAGTAAAATTTGGTTGCCCGGGGCATCTGGACAACCAGGTATTTTGCACGCTGTTACCTGAGAAGAGACTCAGATCCCGTGGTCTCAGGGTTGAAGTACAGGATGTTCTCCAGTGACAGAGAGAAGTCCACACCGTGTACTCCTGAGATGTACAGGTTAGTCAGGGTGTGGTTGTGATTCACACACACAAACACCTGGTGCTCCGAGGCATCGGGGATGTAAAACTCCTGCAACATAAAGACAAATATAGATGATAGGCGACAATTCTCCGTAAAGTATCAAATTCATCATCATCATCATCTTTGCCGCTTTCAGTCATCTGAAAATTACATGCTGATTAAACAAAGGGAACCCTGTGTTCTAGCTGTGAACAGGAAAAACCAACTGACCACAATACTCCTGCAGGAGGGATACCTCCTTCAAGGAGAAAAAAAAATGAATATTTTTGTTTGTTTAAAGTTATAACTTTTCTTCTAGCACAATGGATTGTTCTCACCTACAGTACAGGCCACGAAATACGCATCAAGTTCTGCGGGACGTACCGCGATATTCCGCAGGACGTCCCGCAATATTCCGCAGGACGTCCCGCAATATCCCGCATGACGTTCCGCAATCTTACGCAGGGCGTTCCGCAATCTTACGCACGGCGTTCCGCAATCTTACGCACGGCGTTCTGCGGTATTTCGCAGGGCGTACCGCGGTATTCCGCACGACGTCCCGCAGTGCACCTGAGAGCACTTACGCAGAACTTTGCGAAAGTTCCGCAGAACACCTCTCCGTAAGGCCGCGTTTCCGCAGAAATACGTCCTTTTCATATGCAGGCCACCCGCGCCGTGGGCGGAGAAAGATCACACCCGGTTTGTTTACATTTTCTATAGCGCGGAGTGAAAATGTTCATGAGATCTGCCGATATTTTTTACCCAACAGTGAAGATCGTAAATTCCTGAGCTAGAATGTGGTTTAATAGATTGAGTTAAGATTTCTACCTCTCTGAAACGTGCATGTACACAAATATATTTATCGAAAACATGATCGCTGTGGTCTGAATTGTTACAGGGTTCTAATTAGCGGGAGCTTTGTTTCTTGATCTTGTGTTTCTTGTTTT